GATCACTTAATGAGATAATATCTAAAACTCTCCTTCATTTATGACCGAGAGAATAAATCAACTACTCATTTTAAATAATTCCTGGTTCAGATTATAAACCTGTAAAATATGTTTGTTTAAATTATATATTTTATGACTACTCACATAATATTATTTAGAAAATTAAAATTTAAGAAAATTCTATCTTATAAACATGTCTCCCAATGATTAATGACATATTATTATAGGCTAATATTTTTTATCCGTTCCAAAATCTTTATTGAATGATTTGTAAAATATTTTCATGAAAAGATGAAGATGATGTGTTAACCTTCTTAGCCTGACTTTACTAATCCACTTGTTGGAACACACAGAAATCTTAAAGTATGTTTTATTTTCCTTCTTCATTTTTTGTTTATTTGCAACAATGCACCTAAAACTCCCATATAATCCCACCCTCCTCCCTGAAAAAGTAAAAAACCTACTTTAAAAACTGTCCAAAATCTTCACAAATGCTTTCACAGCCTGGCCATTTGCAAACTCCATGGCCATAGAGAGTGTGAGAGGCCCCAGTCTCCTCATGTGACGAGCTATAGCAAAAGAACACGACGTCAGATACATCTCAAAAAGCCATAATCGTTGCAGGCTGCTAGCGCCTGTCAGGTTACGATCAGTGACAAACAGGTCAAAACAGGTCAATTCAGCTCAGAGCAGTCAGAAAAATTTAATCGTTCTATTGAATAGTTCAACTGCCAAGGCTAGATGATGTTCCAATTAGAGGAGAAATAGAGCCAAAGATGACTGTTAATAAAGGATGAAAAACTTAGAGAACTGTATAATATCATATGCTAATCCTGCCATATGACCTTAATGTAACATTTTGCCTCTAAATAAAAAATATATATTCATATGTGGTCAAGTGAAAAGAAAACGGTATTTTTAAGAAAATAATAGGACCATAAGATTTTTGAAATGCTCTTTTTAAAGAAGAGATGGAGCTTTAGGATCATTTAAATGTTTAATATTTATCTGTGAATCATATATTTCTACTAGTTACAGTTGATTAAAAAATTCTACTTTGGAACAATATTCATTAACTATATCCTTATATAATTATCGAAGACTTGGAGATAAGTGAGTATTATGTCAGAGAGATCCTGGAGAAATCAACCCACTTCTGAAATATAGCATAATCATCAAATTAATCTCAATTAAAACAACACCGTGAAAACATTTAAAAGCATACCATTTCATAATAAAAGCTAACAAGAAAAATTTTCTATAATACTCAAATGAAGGCCAGAAACATCACCAAATTATAGCATTCTATTTTATACTGTACTATAATTAAATACGTTTCTTTGAAAAATATTTGTTTATGACAAAGAATTTGTTGCACCAAGGTAGACATTCATATTACATAATAGAACAGTATCAATCCACTACACTTACATATGAAGTTTGGATCTAAATGTAATATAAAGCTAAGTCACTCTCTTAAGAAATTTTACGCTTACATTTCATCTTTTAAAAAGAGATATTTTTTATATTGAGCAATATTTTAGTTTATATAGTCTATGCAAATTACTTTAAAGCACTTGATTAGACAGCAATACGTCTAAATAAATGGAACTTAATGGACAAAAGTAAATGGGTGTTCCTTTTACAATGGTAGTTTTTACATAACTAAAATAAAATATTAGGTTAAAAACTATCTTACATAATGCATTTAATGTTGCTAACTGAAGCCAAATAATTATTCTGTAAGAATTTTTAGTCAAATTTATTCAGAAAATTACCAATGTCAGTTTATTTTTACGTACTTACAGATTCCATCATGCCACAATAAAAAAGGCAAATCAGATTTTCTATCTTCTGGTTTATTATGCCTCTCTTTATATATTTATATATATATCTATTCTCTGATTTCTAAGCTTATGTCTGAAACATAGTAAGGGTTACATGTATGCATCTTTAATTATTTGGAATTACAGAACTGATTTTTAACTTGAAAAATGGTAAAATGTTCTCATAGCAAACAGGTTAATCATAACATCTTAGTCATAAAAATATAGTGATACAATCATTCCTTATGCACTTATGAAAAAATAAAAATCTTCAGGTAAACTCCCAACTGTATTTATCAAACTGTTAGTATTTCAACCACTTTTTTTGATAATAAAAAAGAATATATAAGACAAATAATCCTAAGATTGCTTTTAGTCTGTTGTTCTACATATTTCATCCTTGTTCAGTACAAGTTATTTTCACTTTTATCAATGGTAAGAATAAAACCTGGTGATAGATAAATATAGAATAAAGCTCATGAGATTTACCTGTCTCGCCTTGCATTTAAAACTGAAGACTGTCCATTCACTATGGAATGATGAGTTATTGGTGGTGATGCTTTGGAAGTGGTGGAGGAGGTAGTCGAGGAGGAATTGTTAGTAGTGAGGTCCAGCCCTCCATGTTTAATGCCATTGTCTTCCATACTGTGAACTCCAGTCACTTCTTTCCATAACTGCTGAATCTCAGCAGGACTTAAGCCAGCTATAAAAATGAAAGAAGGCCCTACTAAAGTAACAAGGTAAAGTTCATATAACGAGCTTAGTGTTATTAATGGATTCATACCAACAAAAAAAGTGATGTTACTAGCATTAATTAACATACAATAAAAATCACTTTTATGCCATCAGTATCATAGCTTTCATCTTGAATAATCACTTATTTGCTAAAGACTACCAATTTGAAAATACTACTGGGAATAATAGTATTGGGAATAGTATCGAGAATTAATAGGAAAAAACCCCAGCAAGTTCTATTTGAAAATTGAACTATTCGATTTTTAACAGTAGCTTTTACTTATCGTTAGTATTAAGTTTTGTTTTTAATCAGCGAGGAACTGAAAGAGAAATACATATCAAAAATTACACATCAAAAGAAATAAAAAGAAAAAATATAAGGAGGAAAACAAAAATGTCAGGGAAAAATAGTGAACACAACTCAAAAGAAAAAGAGATTTGACAATTATCTGGTTATTTTGATCTTTCTCAGAGAGGCAAACTAAATAATTAAATTTAACTTCCTCAAATTCCTGAATAAACCAATATACTTTCCTACATTGATCACTTAATGAGATAATATCTAAAACTCTCCTTCATTTATGACCGAGAGAATAAATCAACTACTCATTTTAAATAATTCCTGGTTCAGATTATTCAAATTTACTTGATTTATATAGCAATAGAAAAGTTAGGCATAATACTTTAGTTTTTAACTATAATTTTGAAATAAGACATTGAAAGACTATTATTTATAATATTTGACTTACCAAATAGTACTTATATGTACCAAGTACTCTGTATATTCTTTATATACTTTATGCTCTTTAATCCTTACTACCAACTAATGGAGTTGGTATTTCCAGTTTAACCAATTTATAGGTAAGGAAACAAAGGGAGAGAGAGGTTCAAAAAATGTGTGTTAGGTCACAAAGCTTATACATGCTAAAGTTGTCATTTAAATCCAGGCAGTCTGACTTGAGTACCTCTGTTCTTAAAATACTATATTAAGAAAATATTAAAACTACTGAATTAAGATGTATAAGGGAAAATGAAGCTGCAATTATATTTGTTATTATTTGTTGAGCATTTACTATATTCTGGTGCTTTACTAAGTGCTTTACAGTCATAATCTTGGTTAACCTCGCTTGAGGTTAGGAATCTTTTATATTTTACAGAAGAGATTTATTTAACCTCAGTTAACCTCACTTGAGGTTATATTTTATAAGGAGGCTCAGAAAGATTAAATATGTTGCCCTAAATCACTCAATTTATAACCAATGGACAGAATTCAAACCAAATGCCCTGTAGCTCCAAAATCTTCATTCTTTATTACTACGTGTATTTACAACATCTAATAGAAAGATGGAAGTGCTGCTCAAACTACCCCTTCCCAAGCCAACATACATCTACATCAGATGCCATAGTAATGTTGATCAGTCAAGAGATGAGCAGGGTAGGGGCAGGTGGAACAGGCAGCAGGGAAAGGGCAAGATAACAGAGTATGATGGTCACTCCCAACCCTGCAAGTGGAAGAATCACTGGTCTAGACATAGCGGTAAGTAGCCAATAGCAACAGAAAAATTCTCACTGTTTCAAACATATTTTTGGTCAAATTATTCATCACAGTAATCTTAAATTGCTGTGTCTATCACAATTTCGCACAGGTAGTTTTACTGAAAGCTATCATTTCAGTGAGTCTGGCTCCTCAAGATTTTAAGACACAGCCTGAGACTCAGGAAAAGACAGCATAATTCAGGTTTCCAAGTCCTTTAAAGCTATTTTTTTCTATAAAAAAGAGAGTAGCTTTATAAAGAATTATCTGTTACATAGGAAACAATTTTTATACAGAGATCATTAATTATTGCTTTAATTATAGCTTTAACCTAGAATTCTGAAATTTTCTGACTATAGCTTTTTGATTACTTGTGTGTATATGTTAGATATCCTAAGAGCAAAACTCCATCAGCAAATCCTTTTACTTGATGGCATCATCATATTTTCTGCTTAGAACTCTCTCCATCTCACTTGCTGCCTCTGCTCTGTTGCTAACTCTTGCCTGGACCACAGCTAAAGCTTTCCAACTCTCTTCCTGCTATTATCTGGCCTTGAATTTATGAATTTACTCTTCATATAGCAGCCAAAAATTCTCTCTTTAAACGTAAATTAGGTCATGTCTTTGCTTTCCAGGCAAAGCCTCCAAAGGCTTTTGAAAACACTTAGAAGTAAACAAAACAACAAACAAACAAAAACAACCTTACTATGGACTTTGAGGTGCTACTTTATTATCTGGCTCTTACCTGTCTCTCTGACCTCATCTATTGCTCTCTCTTCACATTTTATCCTGTTATACCACCAGCCTTCTGCTGCTTCTTGAATGCAACAAACATTTGCTCCCTTTCCAGCCTTTGCTCTGGTTTGTTTCTACAGTCTAGGCTACTCTTGTGTCAAGTCTTCCCATGGCTTCCTCCTTCCCTTCACTTAGATGGTTCAAAGGTCACCTCCTCTGAGAAGTCTTTGACCACACTATCAACCACTGCCCCTCCCCACCCGCCTTCTAGCATTCCTTAACTCCTCATCCTATTTTGTTTTTCTTTAGAGCATTTATCAGTTTCTGATACCATTTTATCTATCTATCTATCTATCTATCTATCTATTTCTTGTTCTATTTCTTGTTATTACCAGTCTGCCTCCACTACAATTTAAGGATTATAAGAAGTCTTTGACCACACTATCAACCACTGCCCCTCCCCACCCGCCTTCTAGCATTCCTTAACTCCTCATCCTATTTTGTTTTTCTTTAGAGCATTTATCAGTTTCTGATACCATTTTATCTATCTATCTATCTATCTATCTATCTATCTATCTATCTATTTCTTGTTATTACCAGTCTGCCTCCACTACAATTTAAGGATTATAAGAGTAAGGATTTCTTATTTTACTGGTATATCTCCAGTGCCTTGTACAGTGTCTGACATGTGCTCAATAAATATTTGTTGATTTCATTGATTATAGCAGAGTCTTACAGTTCTCAAAGACAAGTTGGTTCTCACATGGAAGCTTTATGACTCTTACAGGGAATATTATTTATGAGCATTGTTACCATATAAGACTAATGTCCAAAGAATTATAAATGGTTCTAGTTGCTTCTAACATAGATGGAGTGGCTATAACATTTTAGATCTCATCTAAAGACTCAGATATTTCTAGTGACTATACCAGTTAATGATATTATTAATAACTTACTTTGGGGATTTTATTAATTTAGTTAATCTCGGTATTCACTTACCTTCTAAAAGCAGATTTGTATGATACCATTCATTCATATTGAAACTTAGTAATATCGTCATGCTATTGCAATGATAACAAATGCTCTAGGCACTTAGTAATAGGCCCTCAATAAAGATCTGATGGACAAATAACCGGTTCAAATAAGCCAAATAATGTTTCTTAATGAATAGCATGAGCAAATGGTTTTTAAATATTATAGATAAGGGGCAGAGAATTAAAGAGGTCAAAAAGAGATTTCTCTTAGCAGCTGTGGTTCCCATAAGTATCTGCATATTAGAATTACCTGGGGATATTTTAAAACCTCTCATGTCCTGACCATAGCCCAGACCAATAAAACCACACTTCTGGATACAGGTACATGTACTCTACGGGTGATTCCAATGTGCAGATAATTTGGGGGGGATTTTAAAAAGAAAACTATTGCCTTGTTCTTGGGTAATTGCTCAGCTCTTTTTTACGGATGCAAAACTATAAATATGAAACAACTAGCCAATCGATTTGGTACAACTTTAAAAGTTTTATGAGTTTTGAAGGCTTGATCGTTTGCAAAAATTAATTTAGGTTATTTTTCAGGCAGTACTATAACAAGTTCATTATTCCCTAAACAGTGTTCTATGTAACAGGAGTCTTCTAAATGCTGTTAACCTAAGAGGTCTGTGGTATCTATCTCGGAGGCTCATTATTCATGTAAAACAGTTCTGAGATGTCTGTCTAGTAACAAAGAAAACTTGAATCTTTTTTAACTCAGTGTTTTTCAAATATATTGGAGAAAGAAAACCCCAACAAACTCTTTTTACAATTACATAAATTCACATCAGTTTTAAATACCAGGTATAGGCTTAGGATTCACCAACTGATCCCCAGCCCATAACCCTCTTTTAAAAACTACAATCTTCCTATTTGATATTTCCATGTAACGTTACCAGCTTTCTCAAACCTCTTGTGTTCAAATTAAGTCCCTGTTTATACAGCTCCCTCACCCAGCCCCAACTCACTCCTTTTGTAGTTTTCTTAATCTCTGCTTTATTTAACCAATGCTTATATGGTGCTTCTGATATGCCAGGCACTGTTCTAAGTACTTCACACAGGATAACTAATCTAGCACCTCAAACCACTATTATTATTACTGCTATTACTAGCCTCATTTTAGAGATGAGGACACTAAGGCACAGAAAAGTTAAGTGACTTGCCCTGGAGCTTATCCATTGCAGGCTCCCTCACATTTCCAGGTCATTACTCACATGTCACCTTCTCAGGACTCCTTCCCCGGGCCATCCTATCTGAAAGTTCAACTTCTGCCATTGCCTATTGTTGCTTCATTTTTTCCTATCCTTATCTTTATTTTTCTCCTTAGCACTCACCATTACGTATTTTACTTATTTATTGTCTTCTACCCTAAAATGTATGTTTTATGACGATAGGGATTTTTGTCTGTTTTCTTTATTGCTGTATCCCCAGTGTCTATGAAGAGGGCCTGCAGTCAGTGCAAGCTCAAAGAATATTACTTAACAGAGTTTTTAAATTTGGCCAGAACACTAGTGTACCGGCAAACACACTCTGGAAATCAGTGAACTAGACCATTACAGGTTAAGAGTCAACTTTTATCTTAAGTGCAGATTATTCAGTTTTTCCTAATAACTTATTTCAAAGATATATACATTATGAGTGCCAAAAAGTTTTGTAATTATGTAATTTTAA